AGTCTTGCACTCATCCAAGCAAGAATCCTTGAAGGCTTCATCCACATCCGTACTCATTGGCAAGAAGCGGAAGGAAGCGACGCCACCGAGACAAGAGCTTATCAGAAGCAATTCCATGAAGCAATTCTTCTTGAGTGCAAATCTTGGCTTGATAACGAAGTGTTCGACTTGGTCGAAACACGCAAGATTCATGTCAGGAACTGGGTCACCGGTCGCTGGGTCCTTACCCTAAAGCGAGACAAGGATGGTAACTTCCTAAAGACCAAGGCTCGCTGGGTCCTCTGGGGCTTCCAAGACAAGCAGAAGAACGATCAGCAGACAGACAGTCCTGCTGCATCCAGGAGTGGCTTCCGCCTTGCAATCCAAGCAGCCGCAAATAAGGGCTGGAATATATTCCACATGGATTTGAAGACAGCATTCCTCCAAGGCGAAGCATACGATCAGACTCATTTTTTCTGAAATGGGATATCCACCACACATTGGAGCGTGCGTGAAGAAGCCTGCCTACGGGCTGAATGACGCACCCCGCAGATGGTGGAACATGCTTGGTTCGGCGCTCCGTTCTTACGGACTGGTGCCAACCAGGGCAGACCGTTGTACATATGTCTACTACGGCAAGCAGCTTCCGAAACCCGCATTGGTGAGTGAAAAGAAGTCATCCAATACCTTCGATCTCGAAGGAGCATGCTGTGCATGCATCATATTGAGTGGATGAGATGCACAATTGTCTCAACTTCTTGCAACCATTCCACATGTTCTGACATCGCCAGTCATTAGGATCTTGTTTAAAGATATCGATTTCAGGTACTGCTTCATCGTCTTCTGCATCTTTTGGACTAGCGGATCTTGGATGCCCAATGGTTGAACGTCCTTGTTGAACGGGAGATCCTGAATTCGGACTACTGCTGGTCATGTTGAGCTCCTTGTCAATGGCTTCCATCTCCTTCCTTAGGATGTCAACTTGCTTGATTGTGAATGGTTCGAAAAGGTCCTCCAAGAGGTACACCTCGTTGTCAAGTGGCTTCACCTTCAAGTGTCGTAGGAGGATGTGCGCGAGATCCTGATACACCTGTGCCAGTTTGGTTCTGCTTCCGAAAGTACCAGCATTTCCCTCGAGGGGTTGATGTTCGTGCTTGACTGAGCTGGTAAAATTTTGAAATCTCCCCAGGTCACGGATGGGTCTGAAAATAGTTGCTGCATACAGTTCAGATACCATATGTTGGATGTCGGGATTTTCAATGATGAAGTATCTTCCGTGCTTCAACTGATATCGCGCAATCGATGCCACAAACCCAACCATGGGAAGATAGCGTTTCCGCTTCTCCCAGTCTTTGGTGGTCTTGTTGGATGTTCTGCACATTTGACCACGGTCCACAGACCGGTGCCATGAGGATTACATCAGGTGCCTGCTCCTTGATGATCTCCGTGACCATGTGTCGTCCTTTGGATGTCGTTACGTCGAATCCGGTGCGGATGTCTACGGGAGTCCCAACCTTAAGACCTGTGAGTGCGCAGCATTGACTGAATCTGGCACTTCCTGCAAAGATCCCGAGAACGTGGATCTTTCCTTTACGTACACAATTCCAATGTGCTTGTTCAGGAACGGATGTGAGGTCCTCGACGAACATGTTCTCTGCCGGATGAGGTGCTGCAGGCTTGGGAGTTGTCTTTCCCGCGATGCGTAATGGCACTGAGGATTCTGCAAGGATTCTCGCTCTTCTGGCAAGAGAAGATCAATTCCAGGTTTCGGAGGGATGGTTTCATCCTTTCTGACCTTCGTCATGTTAACCTTGATGAGTCGAGTCCCAAGATCAAGTCCTACCATTGCTCCTTCGATGGAAATGACTTTTCCTTTTAGCCACATTCCTCCCTTGCTTCCATCGGAACGGATCTTGGATTTGTCTTCCTGCCAGTAAAATACTTTGTCCTTCACGTGACGAGGCTTAGAACTCATTCGGAGATTTTGAGCAAGGTCTTGTCGGATGTCTTCGGATTGACGTGCTTCTTGGAATGCTTGCTTAGACAGCAGCTGCTTGATCTGGATGGCTGTCAGCCCTTCCTCATTCCTGTCAATCGTCGAACTGCAGCTTCAGCTCGATTTGGCCATGGTGTGTTCGGTCCCAAAGAAATCGGTGTGATGTCAAGGGATTGATAGAAATGTTCCCATGTCTCCGTCATGACGGCTTGATCTGCGACAACTGATTTGGGCTGCAAGTGGTACTGGTCAAAATAGTTCCTGAGGACGGTGATGTTCTCGACTTCTTGCGTAGTTGTCACTGCCTCTGCAGTGAGCAATGTTGTTGCTCCATCCAGGATGACAAAAACAATGATGTGTTCTCCTGTTCCAAGAGGAACTTGACAGTGATCAATGAATGTCATGTCACCGAAGGTGTCCGCTCTAAGTCCACTCGTCTTGCTTCGTGATGGTGCTTGTTTTGCGGCTTGGCAAACTTCACATTCACTTCGGATTTTGTCAAAAAGATCGATTGTTGATTTTGGCATGTGAAGCGAACGAGTTCTGAATCGAAACTGATCTGTTGTCATGTGATGATGCTGGAGGTGGAGCTTCTTCAACTCTTCGGGGTTTGACAATCGCTTGTGGATTCTGCCTAGGGCAATCGGAAGCGATGTTGGTTCATCTGAGGATGGTGCGAAAGGATCTGGCTCAATGGTCGACCGGCCCTTCTTGTCGATGATCCTGTCTGCTGCCGATCCTGAACCTGCTTCTTCGTCCTTAAGCGAATTGTCCGCGAAGGTGAAAATGGTCTTACCTATCCACAGGTTAATCATTGGTTTGTTTGCCTGGGATGTAAGTCTCCAATTGTCTTCTAGGATGTCTGGATCTCCAGCTTCGGCTGCATCAATGATTTCCGTGGTACGCTTTCGGCTGATGTTATCAGGATTGATTGGACATTCCTTGGCTCCACTTGGTGTGAACAGCGCCTTGCGAGGCGTGATGTGCACACGGATGAGCTGCTTGTTCTTCTTGTCAAGGATCCAATGGTCCTGCTTTTGAGACCCAATGATTTTAGGAGTTGCTAGGTCCTCCTTTGTCTCGGATGATTCAAACAGTTTCACTCTTGGAGATATCCCTGGAGGGAAACCTGATGCTGTTGTCATCATCGTAGACGTAGTTGGTGAGGCCCTTGATGGCAATTTCTCCATGTGCTTTCACTCTTGCAACTCCAGCGAGGTCCAGCGAGGTGGACGAGTGCATGTCCTGTACCGGATACTGGAACTGCTTGACGGTTCATGCTAAAGGCCTTGCATGTGATCTTGTCACATTGAGGTGTGTGCTCGATGGTCATGTAGAGGTTCCGCATCTGACTGATGCTGAGGAGGGTCGGTACAGTTCCTTGTTCGAGGATGTCGATGTTGGTACTGCGTGGAGGAGTTGTGTGATATCGGAGATGCAAGGTGCAATTTATCTTGGCTGTTTCTTTGCAAAAGTGAACTTGGTCTCGGCCGGGATGTACTGATAGGAGATGAGGTCCTTCATGGGTTCGATGGCCTGAGTAAAACGCTGGATTGCATGCCAGCTGCCCATGGATCTGGTACATCCGTTGTCCAGGATCGCATAGGTCGGATTGTGCTGAGGGTTGATGACAGGTGCCATCAGCTTACGGACAAATTGTGTTCTGAAACTGAATCTGATTGGATCAGTTTCCCGTGGATGGCTTCTTTCTCATGATGCTCATATGCGTCATGGAATGCCATTAGCGCTTGTCCTGTGCATGTCTCATGGGATGAGTACCAGCCTTGTTCGTTCCATGTCCATGATTGATCCCAATCTTGGTCTGTCCAACCGGCATAGGCAGGCTCTTGGAGTTCAGCAACTGGCTGTGTGGCAGGATGCTCCTCCGACTTCTCTGCAATGGCTGCGAACGTTTTGGATTTTTCTTTGTCATGTCCGCCCTTTCCTTTGCCATTCTCATAGGAATGATAATCCTTGCTTCCATCATAGGGATATTGGAATTTGGATTTTCCTTTCTTTCCCTTCCTTCCCTTGCCTTTTCCCCAATATGCCTGGTCGTAGGGATCATAATTTTCATTGGCCATATTGGCCTTCCCGCCAGAACCGCTTTTTCGAAAGGGTTTGAAGCCACCTCGTTGGTGACTGCCCTTTTTGTTTCCTGATTTTCCTTTTCCTGTGCCGTGAAGACGGGCATCAAGTCCATCCATGCTGCCTTCAACCTCATAAGAAGGATTTCGAATTTTGAGGTAAAAATGAGGAACTCTTGGTTCTGCCTTCTATGATTGAAGAAACTGAGGAGCCTGCCCTTCAGAAAGTACTTCTTCAGCGTGTTCTTGAAATAGTTGACTCCTTCATCAGGATCTTGCAAAATGTCATTTTGGAGGACTGCCTTGTACATGTACGCATCTCCTGTGCGTCTGCTTTTGAGGAGGGGTCCTCTCTTGGGTGCTTCCACCGTGGTGATTGTCACCCAGTCGTCCACGAGTTCTTCATACCTGAACCAGCTGACTTTTCCGTCGTACGATGGCGGCTGCTTGGCGGTCATCGACAAGTTGAGTGTTTCCTCCGTATAGCCGGATGATTTGGCCATACTTGAATAGGCCTCCATGAAGCCTTCTCCATCGGATGACATTTTTCCTTGGATCCCTGCAAAAAACCCGCTCCGCTACCACCACTGCCGGGGTGCCTATCCCAGAAGGGAACTGGTACCCTGTGGTAGTAGAGGTCGTTTATTCGGTCCCTAAAATCCACTCCGGAGAGAGTCCAATATGCCAATGTGGATGATTGGAGGATGGATTGTCCCTGGTGGCTTGGATTGACTGTTATACCTGTAAAGCGGTCTGCAAGCCTTGAGCCAATGGTTGCAGGAGATCAAGTGTTCAACAAACCAAACACAGGGGTGGGGGGTTACCATATGTATATATATATTATATATATATATATATTTATAGATAGAGGGAAACTAAATGGCAAACCACACTTGTTGGGGTCCAAATGCTTATTCTTGCAAGTCGCCATGCCCAAGGTTGCTGGAAAATGCTTGGCTTGCAGCTCGCATTGCGAGCAGTGCGATCGCCCTGATCTTACCCAGTGTGTTGCAGCATTCCGGGAACCCACGGGCGTTTGTTGGTGACCCCCTTTCTTGGCCATACATTAAAAAGCCTTGTTTTTAGCTTTAATTACCTCCTTTTAGCCATGGTCTGACATTATGCCCTCAAAAACAGGTCATTTGACATTGGAGGGGGCATGCAATCCCTGAGGCTCCGGTCCCGCTAATTGCGATCCAGGCCAATGCGCCCGAGGCTATGGTAACAGCGGGAGACCTGGCTCAAATGAATAGATGCTGTGCGTGTGTGCGTGTGTGTCTGTGTGTTTGTGTGCGTCTGAGTGTGTGTGCACGAGTTGTTTGTTTGTTTGTTTGTTTGTTTGTTTGTTTGTTTGTTTTCTGTTTGTTTGTTTGTTTGTTCCCCACATAGCTGAAAGCTACAGGGGTTCCAGCTTCTTCTAAAAAGCGGAAAGTGATTTGCGAATTTGATGGCCGGTGCTAGGGGACATGCAGTTTGTTTGAGGTGCTGGTGACGGTGCGTGCAGTTTGGGGTGCTGGTGCAGCTGTGCTTTGGGGCTAGGCAGTGTGAGGTGCTGCTGGAGGTGCAGTCTTTGGCTATTTGGGGTCTATGCTGGTGTAATGAGTTTGTTTGTTTGTTTGTTTGTTTGTTTGTTTGTGTGTGTGTGTGTCTTTTTGATGGTGCCCCCCTTCTCACCTTCGTTTCAATGGAAACCAAAAGGACCACTGCCATTTTCGGGGGTGCAAATCCCTTTGGTGAGCCGTCCGGTTGAACACGAAAGCAGGACTGGCTGTGGAGCATGCACATCTCACTGCCAAAGCTGCAGCACTGCGGGTGCCAACAATTGCAACAAAGGCAGCTGCGAAGCAAGGCCGCACTGGCGCTTTTTGATCCACAGCATCGGTGGAGTCAGGCCATGCTGTCTTTGGGGTATGTGTCAAACTAGAGTTTACTAAAGGCTGGTTATCCTTGTGGTTTTCCTTATCAACCTGAAAATGGTACCCTCCAAAAAGCGTTGTGTACCCTGTTTCATTGTTTTGAGTGCACCGGATGGGAAAGCTGTAGCCCCTTGTTGGCCATATACCCAAATAGTCTGGAGCAGCTGAGCAGCTAGCGGTTGGCGAACAGGATACCCTCCAAAAGGACACATGGAGTGCTCAGGTCGCTCGTTACACAAATGATAGAAACCTTTGCTCTGCTTGCGGCTCGTCCTGCTCAACCTGCGGTATTTCTGGACCAGGCCGATGTGACAGATGTGCGAAGCTGAGTCGAATGAAGGTTGAAGACGCGGCACCTCCAAAATACCCACTTGGTTTAGGGTATGAGGACTAAAAATGAGGTATTTCACTGGCAAACCAGGTTTATCAAAAAATGCCCTGCAAAAGGGCGTGGCCCTGGTGCTTGCTCACTGGATCATGGTTCCAAGGTGACGATGGTCATTTTGTTGATCGCACGAAATCTTGCCAGAGATGCACGCAGAACTGTCGCCAGTGCAGGGATGGCACTTTGCAAGGGTGCGGCCCTGATTCGAATCGGGGGTCCGATCGGTGATGGGGTTCTAATAATCGGGTTCCGATCATCCACAGAACAGTTTACGCATCCGAAAGGAATCAATTTGTTAGAACCCATTTAGGGTCCGACTGATCCCTGACGGTTGTGTGAAACCGTGCAAAAGAGCAGCACAATCGCACTATCGCACTCTCGCTTCCTGAGGTGCACGGATTGTTATAGTGGATACGGCTTCGACAAAGATCGACATTGCGTAGAGCAAACGCCTTCAACTGGTGCCCGTGCTAAGTTGAGCTCATTGTTTGTCATGATGCCTCTCTTCATGATTTTTTTTGGAGCACCATATTCTTTGTCTTCTGTCATGCGGTTTCGTTCCGAGGCTGGTGGATGTCGATTATCGGCGGCGTTTTGGCATGTCTCACATGCGGCGGTTGCTTCCTTTGCAGAAAGCGCAGTGTGCGAGAAGCTTCCATGTGCCGTGCCCGCAGGCAGACCACCAGAAGTGAGTTGCAATCAACGCCCGGGTAAGCGAAGGTTAAGGGACAGCCCCAGCCATAAGCTGGCACTATGAATTTGACAGGTTTTGATTGTGAATCAAGCGTTCTCTACAGTCGGAAGATACCTTACTCGAAGAATGAGCTTCCCTAGGGTTCCTTCTACAGTGTTACCTCAGTTGCCACAAAGCCCAATCAATCTGACTGGTACAGAAAACATCCCCCGCTCCAAATACTCACTTCATTAGGGTATGGACTAATAAGGACGTGTGGAACACCAACACGGGTATTTGGATTAGACGAACAACTGAGGCGTCAGCCACTCGCAGCCAGCGCGGCGCTGTCTTCCGCTGCGTCTGGCATGTCACTGCCTACCGTTGCACCGCCTGTTGCGCCTGTGGCCGACCCCGGCAGGTGGGGTTTGGCAGAGCACTTCATGAGCCTAAAACCGAATCCCATGGGCCGATTTAGTAGGTCTTTCTCCCAGCTGCTTTAAGAGGGGTCGTGGTCAAAAGACCTACTTTGGGGTTTAAGGATGGTCATGGACCTCGAACAGGTTCCTCTTAAAGGAATCATGACCACCAACGGAAGGATTTTCGACCATGGCACATATGAGTTGACTAATTTTCTCGAGGTCTACTGTTTGAGGCTATCCGCAAAATACCCCAAACCAGCCTAAACTGTGAACCCTCAATAAAAATAAAGCAGTAAGTTCCGCCATTCTATCCAGGCAGTCTTCCCAGTCTTCCCCGCCGAGCGGATCATGGCTGCGACCCTCAGTTTGTGCAATACTCCACCCTCTTCAATCCTCCTGACCAAGGCGAGGCTACTACACCTATGACCGAGTGAATCACGACGTTTGCGAGTTCCAGCTTCGGTTCGAGAATACAACTGTCCAAGGCGAAGGTGTAGACGATGTAGGCACGGAGCATTTCGGCATGGCTCGTCACAACAGGGATTCGGACCCCCAAATGGTTGGTTTAGAGAAGGAACCTGCAAAACATACACTGATTTGAACTTGCAGTACTTGATGCTTTGGGCACGGCATCGGCACCCGCGCGGGTTTGCCAGCTCGCTTCAGGCTGCTACACGATTCGTGGCACCTACAAAAGTGCGCAGAAGTCCGTCACTTTCGCCAAGAAGTCCCCTGGCAGGACGTAAAATCATACAGGGTCCCGCTTTTTGGATTAGGTGGACGCAGATTCCCAGAGGTGATTGGTTTCCCCAGCAAAACCCGGGCTTAAGTCTTCCTTGGGGAAACCAAAAAGGGCGAGGCGATCGATCGCCCTTCACTTGCATGTGACAGGTATCGCTTGGGCAGCCGAAACCACTTGGGCCTTCTCAATGAAGACAACGAGGGCCATGTTGTGACCTACCAGGGAAGGCGCGCAGCAGTAGAGTGCACTGATCCCACTCCGAGAAATCAGGCTGGTTGGTGACACGCTTGGCGCTGGCTTCCGGGGCACTTGGCAGATCAGAAACAGTGGAACAAATAGCAACTTGGCCGCGCATCAGATAAGACCTCAGCGGGTGAAGAGGTGAAGCCCGGGCTCCGGGTTGTGTCGAAGGAGCTAATCTCATTCCAAGCCCAGTCAAACGGGTGAAACCCAAAGGAAACCCGCACATAAGCTCGCAAGGGGTCTAACCCATGTAAAAACCCAACGGACACCCAAAGGAGCACCCTATGAACCCAGATAAACCCAAAGATCAAAGGGAAATCCAAAGGGAAACCCAAAGGGAAAACCATAGTTTGACTTTGGTCCGAGGCAATGGGAACTTCCACCTCTGGCCGGCCATGGAGAGCTGGGCCTCCGCTCCGCCGCTGGAGGCGCTCGCGCCCAGCCAGCAGCTCTTCCAGGTGGCCGAGGCGAGCGGAGCCCAGTGGCGTGTCTAGGATTCCGGGACTTTCAACTTGTGGAATTTAGGGATCCTTGGGACGTGATGGAGTGGTTGGAAGGCAGGTGGCTGGAAGTTCTGGTTTTTCTCCCCCTCCCCCCCTGGTTGCCCCTGCATGGAGTTCCCAATGCGGCCCAGGATTGGCGTGTCAAAGTAGGCTGGATATGGCTCATGCAAGCGGGTTTTCTCTTGGTTCCTTCACGGGTGGCGTGGCTGAGTGCGTGGCCAAGTGGCTGAGTGGCGTGCTTGGAAGCCAGGTGACTCCAAGACACGGGGCTTGAGAGCATGATCAGAACCTGCTGATCTTTTCTGTGTTTGCCAAAGTACCCGGTACCCCGAGCCAAAGCCATGACATGGCGGCCACCCGACGCAACTTGTTGTCTGGGACTTGAAATGGTAGAGAAGACCACATGCCAGGATGGCGAGTGCGTGATTTGCTTCGAAAGAGCGATTTCTACGTGCTTGCGGCCTTGTGGACACATCGCGATGTGTTCTCAGTGCGCCTTGGCGTTCACATTTGGTGGGCGCGCAAAGGCTCGAAAGGCCTCATGGCTATCCGTGAGGTGTCAATCGACTGCCGCTTCCACGGACTTGCCCAATTTGCCGCTCCCGGATTGAGCAGTCTCCTCAGCTCGCGAGAAAGAGCACATTCTCAGACGGTTTTTACTACCCCCAAACCACTACCCTCAGGGGTTTAAGGGGCTATAGCCATTTCATACAGGGGTGTGTCTTTTTTAAGAGGACCCCCAAATGGCTTTTCCCCTTGATCGAAAAATTACACACCCTTTTGTCCAGCGAGAGGAGTGGCCGCGGACACCCTAGAATGCGCGCGCTTGAGGTCTGTTCTGACACGGTCTGGAGAGCAGGGCCCCAGTGCGTCACAAGCCGCTTCGATAGCAAAGCGCCGTTCACAAATCAAACATACCCTTCCAACTACAAACATGGACGTTCACAGCTCCCTTTCCAATAAAAAGGCAGTCTTCCAAAAGGATCTGTGAACCTCCATGTTTGTTGGAGAGAGGTACTCCTCATGGAACCCAAATGATGGCATTTGTGTGTTTGTTTGTTTTGATTGTATCAATTTGCGGGTCAGTTTAAAGGGAAACCAACAACCAACAAGACTCTACCCATTTTGGGGTTTTCCTAGTTTTACACATAGGGGGTCCTTTCCAAAAAGGGGTAGATTTCTCTAGGAATGATGGCTCCATCTGCAGGGGAGTGGGATCAGTCACAGCTGCGCCCATGAGGCCTTGCGAGCGGCATAGGCAGCTGACTTGCCGGGCTCCGACATTTTGTCGGACTAATGTGGCATTTGGCTCCACATTTAATCTTGCGGATCGCCACCAAAGGTGTGCGTGGGACAAGAGGCAAATATACAGAGCCAATGCTCGCTCTCGGGTGGTTGGCCAGAGTGCGAGCCACGGGCGCCCTTGCCGACAATCTTGTTATGTGCAGAGCTGAGCCACACACGTCTATGACGACATGGGCTTGGCGTGGAGGCAGTACAAAATGATGGGCGCGTGTTTTTGGGGCGAAAGGCACTGTGCCCTTTTCAAACCCAAATGAGAACCACAATTTCTTCGTTCCCCCTATTTTTACACATGCCAGTGTGTCGTTTTTGAGGCTCGTGCCCCTTTTTTGGTGGTAGAGGGCAACCAAAAGGAAAACCGAAGCCAATTTTGAAGCTCATTTGGGGGTCCAAATCCCTTTGACGAGCCATGCCCAAAGCAATTTGTCGCTGCCAGACGCACGGCGACCCCAGAACAAAGTGTTCAACTTTTGGGTTGGGAGAATCATTCCCAAAAAGCTTTCAGGTCCAACCCCTTCAAGAAGAAGGCTTTTCGGAAAGTCCCTGAAAGCCAAATGTTGAAGATCCATTCAAGAAAAGGACGCTGTCAACGGGTCTCTGAAGTTGGGCGCCTTAAAGTAGACCTCATCGCCCGAGTTGTGCCTTGTAGTTGATCAACAGTTCTTCACTTCGGAGAATCCCCGACGCCCCCCCATTGCGGATAGCCCCTTGAAACTTATGGAGCTGGGTGCAACCTGGACTGGCCCGTCTTTATATTTCTGCATTCTGGAGGGTTTTGGGTAGACCCCGTTACCAGGTAGCGATTCTGACGTATTCTGCCTTCAATCCAGCTCACGTGATGTGCACACGCTTTGCCGTGTAGGACCTCGATGGATTTCCGCTTCGCCTGCGAAGTTCCACAGGCGAGCGCTTGCGCCGGTTTGTGAGCACTGGAAAACTCCAACGCACAATGAGAAGCGGGGACTTGGAAAAAGGGCTTCTAATAGAAAGGTTCCGGTTGCAAGCAAGCAGGACAATCCAAGAACTTATTTGGCTGCGTCTTTTTGAGGGTATATACCCTCTTTGGGGTTGGTCTAAATGGGTTCCAACCGGAAAACTGAAGCCCATTTTAGGGGTTTGAGACAGCCCCCACTTTGTTGGATCCCATTTCGGGCCAGGGAGACCCATCTTAAAAGTTGGGTTCGCAAAATCGGAATCGGACCCCCAAAATGGCCTCGATTTTCTTGGTTAATCCCTTGACAAAAGACCCCCCCTTTGGACAAAGGACGGCTGGCAGACTCCTTTGCGCCCATTGTGGCGCCAGCCCGATGTCGTGCTTTTGCGTAGAAGCCCCTCATTTTCATTTTAGCTCCCCAGGCCTCTTTTGCTTGATCCAAAGCATTCAGGGGTTGCAGTTTTAGCAGGGACCACAGTGTATTGGTCACTTGTTGTGAATGTTTCTACCACTTTGCGTCATCGTGTTTCGCTACTTTGCCGCAAGGAGGACATGTGCTTAGCCATGAGAGTATCTCACATACGTTTTTTGCCAATCCCGCCACCTTGCTGTCGCGCAGATCGCTGCTCGTGTTTGCGCTGCAATGAGCCATCCTATCTCAGTTGATTCTCGGCCTGGCAGCTGCTTCTATCATGTGTTTGCCATGGGGCACAGCATGTTTGCTTTGCCCCGGGATTCAGGGCTTCTTGACACTGCATCATCATTGGGTCCTCAGACCATTCTTTCAATGGGAATCGGTGAACCCCAAGGCCCTGAGGTTTGTAGCCATGAGCCTTCAGGGAATCCCAAAACTGAACTCAGCGGAAAACCTGGCTTTGAACCGGCCCAAATATTTCCGACAGGGGGCCCTGTGCTGGCCCATGTTTGCATTTGTTGCTCGCGACGCTGAAGCGCTCGCGTCATTGGGATGTCAGAGCCGTCCATTCTGCCCGGGTAGCCGGAGTTTTGAACGCCATCGCGCCGATAGGCGCTTCTCCGTTGTAGTTTGGTGTCTTGCCAGGTGATCGGCCAACGTGATCGTCATGCAACTGCGGACCGGGCTCCCGGTCACATTTTGAGCGGATGGTTGGCGAGTGGAAGCCAGCCGACGTCCTTTGTTGGCGCTTGCCGGCGAAACATGCAAGCAGTACTTCAGGTTTCTCGTCAAGGCAGTGACGCCCCAGCCGAGCATGGGCGCAAAAAAGATCAATATTTTGAGCGTCATTGCGGCAGCATGGTTGGTTGCAAATATCGTTTTGGACAGCTGTCACACGATGCATCGCTCGGATGGGCAGTGAAGGCATGCAACAGCTCGCATGTTTGCTCGGCACAGTGCCTGCAATCAACACATATGTGCCATGACTAAAGCACCCGTTTATTTGGGGTCGGAGGTGTGGTCATGGACCCCTTAGGGGATCCGTTCGAGGGAATGGTTTTGTTTCCCTGCAAAGCCACACCAGCAACAGGGGGTCCATGGTTTTGCGAAACCCTCATATGTTGGGTCAAAGTTACATAGGGGAACACTCTGAATTATCCACAGAAGCCAGGGTTCTCACTACTTTCGCATGTCGAGGGGAAGCAAGTAAGTTTGGCAGTGGCTTACATGTGCTTTTGCCATCTTCAACCTCAAGCTGCGATTTTATTGTAGCTTCGCCTCTTTCTCTTGCGCGAAAAGCGATTCTTTTGGTATGACGAAATTGACGTCTTTGCTCTTCCTGCTTGCCGGGTGCGCAGCCGACAAGGACGCGCTTCTGGCGGACGATGAATGTGCGGATGGGCAGTGCGCCATAGAGATGCTCCAGAAGTTTGAGCGGAAACTGGCCAGCGACGAGTGGGTTGCCCTGATCGAAGCTGGGTCAGCGTTTTAACATCTGAGACACCTTTGACTCAAATTAGCCGATCAACACCGATTCGGGTAGGTCACAACCAGAAATAAGTGCGGCAATATCCGCCTTTTTGATTCTTCACATGCTCTTGGGGTTTTGGTTGTGACTCTAAATGATGAGATTTGAATCCGATGCCCCTGCAATTTAACGTGGGGCACATGTTCCCAAGTTGTTGTTTTGTTTTTCTCTGGGGCACCCCGTAGTTTTCGGGTTGAATGACTCAGGAAGGCTCAGCGTGTTCCAGCAGTGGTGGCATTACCTGCGAGCAGGTGGGTGAAATGCGCCATGTCAAGTTCCCCGCGGGGGAGTTTCCAGTTCCTAGACAGGTCTCTGTACCTTGGTAGTTCTCAGCCATACTGTTGATGGACAAATCCACTTCACCAGTTGACATGGACGAAACCCTATAATTTAAATACCGTTGACAGTTTAACTTTTAGCAATCAACAAACCACTCAGGTGCCTGCGAATACCATCATTGAGGGCGCCGGCAATCCGAACAGCGGCGACAAGGCGACCAAGCCCGACTATAGAAGTCAAACGGTCTTTGTGGCCACCCACGGATTGTCAGGCGGTGATGGCGGCATTTGCTACTGCCAAAACCTAGAGAGGACCTGGGAGCCACTGTCACCTAGGAACCCGTACCATTGCCAGCACCTCACCAACGACCAGGTGGGTCTTCTCAAACTCGCCTCAAATGAATCGTTGGTTTCCCAGTAAAACCACCCAAGGGCCCAGAAATTCATTTTGTGCGACCCCAAATGTTGGTTTTCCTTCTGGTGTCCCTTTGAACTAGATTAAAAGGGATCCTTCAAAACACACCCATTTTGAGAAGCCAGGTCAGATATCTGCGCCCGGGCTTCCTCATGTACTCCAACACCGTGGTGAAGAATATCGCCTATCAGGGCAAAGACCGCCTGAGGCCTTCAGACAACGGAGCTCTATGCGGCGGCGGCGTTTTTGAAACCCCCGGCTGTGTCCACAATCAATGCCACCTGTCTGGCAGGGAATTGGCATTTTCTTCCATTGAACATGTTGTGTGTTTGTACCCTTAATAACATAGGCTCCGTCCATTCTTCACCTAGTTTTATCATCTATAGTTGCGTCAACCTGTCTTCTGTAATGAGCGTTGAGCCCTAGGGTGTATGTTATTTGAGCTTTGCAACATCTGCAGTGAAATGACAGGCAGCAGCTGTGTTGCCTTGCTTGCCACTTGATGGCACTTGCCACCTGATGACCCAGGTTTGTTTTCGCACTTGCAAACTGGCAACGGCCAGCCCGTCACGAATGTGGTCATTGAGAACGTGCGGCTCAACGACTACTCCGGTGACCCCCAACAGGCCAGCCAGCTTGCTGTGTGGGTTGCACAGACCAACACTCAGATGCCGACAACCCAAGTGACCGTGAAGAACCTCGTTGCTACTAGGTCAACGTTTGGCAACATTTTACAACATATTGTATGTTTGCCCTGACTAAACTGACCATTCATTTTTTGAAGTAGGGCACCACCAGAAAAGTGGTTGGCGGACACATATTCGCATCGAAGTCTGATGTCCACCAAGGGGTCCGGGACCCTTTTAAAAACATGCCTCCAAATAGTTGCGAGAAAAGTTTGGAGACTCAGGGGTCCTAAAATACTATGTTTTCAAAAGGACCCTTTGATAGTAGTGTAAGGGTAAGTCCTAGGTCTAGGATTGAAGGTTGGCTAAGGCTATGTTTCTTCATGCCGACGGCATCAACTTCCATGGCTTTGTTCAGAACGCCCTGGTGGATGACACCTACATCCAGAACACCGGGGATGACATCTACGCCGTGTGGGGCAGTCACTTCGATTCTCGGAACATCGTCTTCCAGAACCCCAGCTGCAACCAGTGAATCCATTCCGGAGGGCCACTGGATGGGTTTGTCTCAAAGGGATTTGAACCCCCCCAGATTGGTGGTTTCCCTCTAATTTTCCTTTAAACTAGACTTAAAATAGGGGCACCAACTTCCAGCTCAAAAAAGGCACACCCACAACTCACACCTGGAAAGCTGAGTTGTCAGATCCGTTTGCCAGGAACTCCATCGGGGTGGATGCGGGAAGGGCGCGTTCCAACCACTACGGCTCCTGTGTGGCGGTCTACGGCGCCAAGGAGGCCACCTAGCTTTCGGACGCCGACCATGAAGACCCATTTTTTTTTGTGCATTTTCGTCGCCTCGAAAGGTTGACCTTTTGTTTGCGCGCTCTTTGGGCAACTGAGTTTCTTGAACCCGAATTGGGGGTCCACAAGGACCCATTTTTGAGGCCCAACACCTTCCAATGGAGAGCCAGACTGCTCGAATGGATGGAGGGTCTGATGATGCTTACGGAAGGGCATTGGAAACGGTTTATTTCCAAGACACTGAAAGTTCATTTCTTTAAAATGCGGTTGGCGGTTCGTTCCCAACACCATGAAAGTTGATTCCCAGTCGAGCGGGTCCTTAGAGACATAGCCCACCGGGTGATTGCAGAAGTGAAAGGGCTCGAGGTCTTGTTTACTTCCCCACTTGTCCATTCCGCTTTGAAAGTACTACAAGAGTGCAACAGTTGGTCGAATCTACAGTTCGGGCATCAAACACGTCATTTAGAAGGATGGCCCGAGATGCTCGTGCTTCCTCCAGATAGGAAATGCTCTCAAAGGTTTCTTTGGGTGTGTCCTAAAACGCCCTACAGCAGCTTTCCTTTGTAACACAACCCAACGAAGGAGCGGCGAGCCTCAAAAGGACCCACACCAGACAATTGGACAACTAAAACCCAGGTGGCCTGGGAATCAAACCGGTGTTTCTCTAGGGGTATTGGATCAGTTCAAAACGGATCGACCTTTTCTCACTCCCTTGGTCCACTTTTTGACCTTTTGGCTTGGCAACCAGTCTTAGAGTCCCAAACTGGGCTGAGCTTAACTCAACCCTGGAGGTCACCTTCCGAAATATCAAGTGCTGGGCACCTGAGCAGAACAGGAGTGCCGTCGGCTGTTGCGCAATGATTGCCCAATTCGAGTGACCAAAGGGGCTCGTCTTTGTTGAGGGCTCTTTAAGTGGTCTTGAAGGAAACCAAGACAAAAACCGAAGCCATTTTGGGGGGTCCCCTAAAAACTGTGTCAACATACGAACTTGGATCCTAACAGTGCTTTTGCGCGGGCGAACCCCGGGGGGGTGATTCTTGCTGGAATACGGAATCAAGCGGGATGTTTAGAATAAAACTAGGATGTCCGTAAAGGAGGATTCACGTGGGATATTCCCTCATTTACTGAGAACCAGCAAGCTTCTGAGGGTACCCATATCGCCTTTGTTCAAAGAGCAACCGAAGTCATTGGGGGTTCGATTCCTATTTTGACACAAGCTGAGGGAGTGCCGAATGCATGTGTGTGTGTGTGTGTTTTGAAGGTACCATCTTTAGGGGCAAGTGCAAAGGAACGTCAGAAGGACAACCCGGACATTGAATTGTCAGATCAAAATCTGGGTAGCTGTAGATGATGTTGGGTATGAGGGTGTCGCAAAAGAAGGGGACCCCCAAGAACAAAGGCACACCCGTGAAGTAGCTTGCCAGATGGTGCAGGAGAGATTGCTATGACTCAAAGAACCACGGCGAGACCTGCAACGGCTGTTTGGGCATCATCAAGCAGAGCTTTGATGCCGACTACTCAGGCGGGGTCAACCAACCTTTGGAACCATGTTACTCTTTGTCATTTGTTTGCCCTAGATAAAACAACATTGAATGGTAGTGCTCAAAAGGGCAGTTTAACATCTTACATGGAGTTTTTCAAAATGGTGGACAGGCCACTGTTAGTTTGCATTCCAAGGGAACAAATGAACCCCTTAGCATTTTAGGGGTCACACCCTATTAAGAGAAACCCCAACATTTGTGCCCTTGACATTTTGACGATGAGCCAAGAAAAGGTTTATCTCCCAGGTTGAGGGCTGAACGTTGACTAAGGATCAGTGTTCACCTTCGCCGGCTGCGAGTTCTATCAGCTGAAGCGCAACGGGAGAAACTCCTACGATCTCAGCAACCCTCAGCCTACAAACCGTCCAATCGTTTGCAACAACGAGTGGCACGGAGGAGGTTTGGAAGTCAGGGTCAGCTGAGAAGTCTTAGCTCCCCACTTTTGAGGCTCGAGTCAGAGCCACAGATTAGCTAGCGTTATGGGCTGGACAAGTCTGTGACACGTACTTTTCAGCGTGCGGCTCTGTCGTGCGCACTCGTGCGCGCACGCCAATCGTTTTAATGGACGAAGATTCGTGCCCGTGTGTAAGAAAAAGAAGTGACTTGCGACAAGCGGAAGAATGAGCCGACTCTTTGAGCGTGCACTGCACGCATCGCATATTGCTGAGGCTCGCGTGGCATGGAGGCCTTCGGACCTTTGGACCCCTCCTGTGCGTGAAACATGTCTGCTTCAGCTTTCCACGGATTAGACCACACACACACACACACCACGCAACTCATTCGCGGACCTCGAATCACCTGCTGTTCCTCCTAGCTTCTAGCTTTGCATTTCTCCACAGTTGGACTGCTGGTGTGCCAGCACGGCGACTTGAGCGCAAAGTTTAGTGAAATTGAAGCAGACTGCTGTCTGATCTCTTTTCAGGTGATTGGTTTGGGTTGCTTGCATTGGCGAGAGATTCGGGGAGCGAGGCAAGATACAATTCCGACGGAAGTCACAATTCCGACGGAAGTCACATGAAACTGCTTACCGCGCCCACTATGAGCTTCCCACTCGCTAGCTGCCCGCCCGTCGCGGGAATGCCAAGCAGCTCGCTTACGATGACCGCCGACGAGCGGGAGTTCAGCACTCAGCGCCACTTGCCGCGCTAAGGCGGTCGTTTTGCTTCGTCGCTAACCCCCGGTGGCCGCCGGGGAGGCTCGCAACGACTCAATCGCAATTCGTTCTACCGAGCGCCTCCTACCCTGAAGCCTCGCTTTGGGATTTCGATAACACGCGTGTCAAACTGCTCCAGTCGAGTTGATGCGCGTACGGCCAGCGTGATTTCGAGGTGTAGATACAGTTGACTATTTCCCTACTCTGTGCCAGAAAGGCAGCGTTCTGTTCTCACTCCGTTCCGTCCGTTCCGCGCCTTTGTTTTTGGCAATCCTGCCTTCTTGAGACCTCGTCGTGGGACAGTTGTGTTGCTCCAGCAAGTGGCCCACAATTTCCCATGAAAGTTTCTTTCCTCTCCGCGTCCACCCACTACAACCTTCCACTTTTCTGCCGATTGTTTTGCCTTTTGCGGCCTCGTAAGGGACACTCAATGCCCGCGTGGCTAGCGTGAGATGCGGAAATTATCTACTATTGCTATGCCTCAGTTTTCCCAAGAATCCGTTACGCCCAGACATCTTCTTCTGTAGACCTCTTTTGGGATATTTGACGCGCGCTTTTCCGCTTTTTGCCAGGGGTCGAGTCCATGCGCGCATGTGTGTGTGTGTGTGTGTGTGCTTGTGTGCTTGTGTGCTTGTGTGTGTGTGTATGTGTGTGTGTGTGTGTGTGTGTGTGTGTGTGTGTGTGTGTGTGTGTGTGTGTGTGTGTGTGTGTGTGTGTGTGTGTGTGTGTGTGTGTTTGTGTGTGTGTGTGTGTGTGTGTGTGTGTGTGTGTGTGTGTGTGTGTGTGTGTTGTGTGTGTGTGTGTGTGTGTGTGTGTGTGTGTGTGTGTGTGTGTGTGTGTGTGTGTGTGTGTGTGTGTGTGTGTGTGTGTGTGTGTGTGTGTGTCTGTGTGTGTGTTTGTGTGTCTGTGTGTCTGTGTGTGTGTGTGTGTGTGTGTGTGTGTGTGTGTGTGTGTGTGTGTGTGTGTGTGTGTGTGTGTTGTGTGTGTGTGTGTGTGTGTGTGTGTGTGTGTGTGTGTGTGTGTGTTTGTGTGTGTGTGTGTTTGTGTGTGTGTGTGTGTGTGTGTGTGTGTGTGTGTGTGTGTGTGTGTGTGTGTGTGTGTGTGTGTGTGTGTGTGTGTGTGTGTGTGTGTGTGTGTGTGTGTGTGTGTGTGTGTGTGTGTGTGTGTGTGTGTGTGTGTGTGTGTGTGTGTGTGTGTGTGTGTGTGTGTGTGTGTGTGTGTGTGTGTGTGTGTGTGTGTGTGTGTGTGTGTGTGTGTGTGTGTGTGTGTGTGTGTGTGTGTGTGTGTGTGTGTGTGTGTGTGTGTGTGTGTGTGTGTGTGTGTGTGTGTGTGTGTGTGTGTGTGTGTGTGTGTGTGTGTGTGTTGTGTGTGTGTTTGTGTGTGTGTGTGCGTTTGTGTGTGTGTGTGGGTGTGTGTTTGTGTGTGTGTGTGTGTGTGTCTGTGTGTGTGTCTGTCTGTGTGTGTGTTTGGCAAGCGTACGCCACTTTAGCTTTTTTCTTCAAGCTCATTGTGTGAACTGACTTTCATTCTGTTGGACACGTGCGAGCTATCTTTCGTGTCTTCTTCGCAGTTTCAATTTCAGCTGTCCAAATCGAGCCACAGCCAGTCGCATTCGACCCAGCCTGCTTGGCCCCTGGCATCCCATCTCCATCCGACGAAGTCGTTTCACGCGGCAGGTCTGCTCAAGCTGCAGTCGCATCTATATCGTATGCTTCTTTGGCGAAACTGGCGAGCTTTCCTTCGTTTGTGTTCTTTGGCTCACCATCTTGCGACCTCACAGGCTCCTCCCAACTAGCCCGTGTCATTGATTTTGTAATTTGAATGTATCAGAAATCACAATTCCTGGACTGGACTCATGTTTTTTGTTGTTGGGGGGGGGGGGGGGCATAGTGGACGTGGGTCCTACATAAGAACATTTGCATGAGAAGACTTGGTCGCTCAAAAACAACTCGAAAGAAAAATACCATCATGTAAACATTTTAGCGGCGCATTCGAACGTTTTGACCCGTTTTATCGACAAGCTCATGAAGTGATTAGCCTGGATCATAAACGTTCAGCGCAAGGGTGAACCAACCAAATGTGACGGAGCATAAGCACAGAATTCTCTGACAGTCCATCCTGTGGACTTCCTGGCCCTGCTTTGGCCTGCCCACTGAGCAAACTTGGGTTTTGCAATCGACTAGCTTAATGCATCCTCCGCAGAGCTCTCTTTCTCTCTCAATTTCAGGCCTGTCTTGTTTGACAAGTTCATCCATCTATTGCCATGGCTTTTCGCTCCGTCGTCCTGGCCCTGGCGGTAAACCTCGTGTGTGCGGACTTCGTGTATGACGACAAGCTGGGGGCGGGGAAATCCCCGGTGCTTCCGCTGGGAAGTGCTGACCGATTTGTGCGCAGCGCCTACGAGATCACCCGAACCACTACGGGTGCCTTGGGGATTGTGGGCGGTCAGCATTCCCAGCTGATCTTGGATTTTGGCGATCAGGAGACGCAGGGCGTTTTGGGAGTTTTTGTTAACCATTGCGTAAACAAGGGGTGGAGAGCCACAATCGAACCCTAGGCAAGTGAAGGTTATACAGTTTGGGATGGTCCCAACCATCAACAGCCCTTGATGGTTTGCAGGACCGCTTCAAACAGGGGTCCCAACATTTTCGCTTTTGGCCGTTATAAACATCACCTTTGGGTTGCCAATTTACCGTAAGTTTCCTTTGGGGTGATGTTTGAAGGGGACCCCCGAGTTGTGGATTTGTGCATTTGGGAAGAGCATGGAACCCTGTGACGCCAGATTTTGATTCTGAACTCCCCCAACTCAACAAACACACCAAACAGAAGGTGTCCCTTACCAAATGAAGAAACGAGTAAGCAGTAAGCTACGATTTTTCGGACTCCCATAAAGACTGCCAAAAAGAAACTGCGACCAAGGCGAGCAAATTGTTTTTTTCCCGTGGGTCCATATTGGGAGACCCCGAGGAGCCCATGCTGGCCATCGACTTGCACACCGTCCGCGATCCCAAGAGGTCCGAGGAGCGCCTTGATCTGGGCGCCATCTTCGTGCTGCGGATCCCCTTCGAGGACGTGAGCACCTCGAAGAAAATGAACTCGGCCAACACCATGACGCAGGAGGGGGTTAAAATAGGAGCCGCCCCACAGGACAAGGAGGTTTCTCTTTACAATGCGATTCGGTGTTCCTTAAACCGAACTGCAAAGAGTACCTGAAGAAAAGTGTGCAGGAGGAGCTGAAAGCAGCCAAGGCCACGAACCCCAACTTCGCGGCCAAATCTGTGTACCGGGAGACGCTAGGTCAACATTTTATGGGTGGCCGGTTTTTTGAGGGTACCATTTTGGGGTGGTTTTAAAGGGAAATGAAAAGGACACCCACTCATGTTGGGGTTCCTTTATTTTACAGCAACCCCCGTATGATCTTGGATAGGTGAACCGAACTGGTGGACACCAGAATTCACTGGAGAGTTATGTCCAAGCATTTTCCAAGGGGTTCCAGCTTTCAACATTGGTAGCCAGGACATTGGGCACATGAGCCTCAAAATACCAAGTGAGGCTTGCTCGCCAATTGTTGCCGTTGGCTAAGACTATGGCTCACGTCTTTGGATGTCATTGACGTGAATATTGTCCATCGCTTGCATCTTTGGCCAATGAAATCGGGTTGACTAAGGATGAGCATGGGTCGGAAAGTGTCAGAAAGGGAGGTCTTCTCTTTCCTGCGGGTTTGGCACAAGCTCTTTGCGCACCGCTACGGCAAGCTGAGCTTCAATTGCCAGGATCGCCGCGGGTCGAACAATTTTTCAACCAAGATTTGTGGGACTTGGTCCGTGTGGGGGCTGTGGACTCTGAATTTCCCGACGGAACTCTAATTTTCTGATTTGCATGTCCTTTCAACTTTACAGGAAACGACTGGTCTTGACCCAGGTCATGATTGGTGCTGCCTGGTCGTACATGAGCGGGGGGACCCTGACATGTCCCAACTGCCATCTCTTCAGCCTGCCGTCGGGCGACGAGATCCACGCGCTGTTTGAGATGACCAAAGAGCGGCAACACGCACTGGCCATGGGCTCGGTGGAGCACACCCATGGCCCCCCGCGCCAGACTTAACAGAAGCCTTTTGCTTTTTTCCTTGTTCCGTTGCCTTTGTACTTTTTTACGCTTTTTATTTGTTGGGCTCGAAATGGTGGACATCAGCATTCGGTGGACGTCAGATGTCGGTGAATTTATGTCCGATCCTTTTTCGTCGAGCGTCAAGTGGCCACTTTTGCATAGTTTGATGAAGGCCTCATGGTGGACACGCTGGACACTTTGAACGGCGAGTGTGGCTTCCGCGACCGGCTGCTCATGCCCAACGTCTCCGCCTTCCCGTCTCCCCGGGCTTTGCCCTTGACGAAGCTGAGTCAAAGTTATTACTCAGATGGGTATGGCGACTGATGTTCTCTGTTCAGGCTTTCCATTTGGTGTCCCTTCACAAGCACAAATCAAGTGCCCACCGCCCATTTCGGGCCCATTCACAGCAAGGAAGCACCAGCTCTCAGGGGACGGCGCCGCGGTGTTCCGCGCCTACACGCTGGGGCTGCTGAGCAGGATCATGATTTAGACGAGTTTGGCCGGGCTTTTGTTAAGAGGGGTTTGGGGGAATTGCCAAACAAGTGTTTAAGAGGTGTTTCCATCTTTCTGATTGAAATTCGCCAGCAAAAAGCGACGCCTTTTATATTATTACTATTTGGTTTTTGTTCTTCTTAGAAGGGGGAAGTCCCCTTTAAGAATCAACGCATGGAAAGAGAATGGAAATCTGGCAAACACATTGATTCACATTGATCTGTTTCTCCCCGAGTTCAGGACAACCGCCTGAAACACCGGCGTTTTCCCCTTTTTTCGTTTTCCCCGGAGACGCGACACCGAGGCTGCACCACATCGGCTCCAGCTTCGACTTCTCCGAGCACCCGGAGGTCTTCCGCGGGGACCTGAGCTACGCCAAGCGCGCCTTCACCTCTGCGGAGCACGCCTTGCTGTACCAGGACACCTGCCGCTTGCCCTTTAAACCCAACGCCAGGTCACGTTGTTGAAGGTACCCTCACCAGTAGTTTTCCCTTTTGGGTTCCCTGTAAAACAAGCACAAAGCAAGTGCCCTCAAAAAAAGAAGTTGCCATGACCAAACGACCCTTAGGGTGGTGTCATGGATCCCTGAATTTTAACAACTAGACTGCCATTGTCAGGGTTCCCTGGATACCATGATTGGGGGTCCAATATAACATAGTGAGGCTCCCTTGATGTCCTTTTTCAGGAAGTCTTGAAGTGAGCCCTGCAGGACGATGACAACCAGCTGGAAAGGGCCGCGCGCACCAGCATCAAGGTGGGGCAGGGTTGGCAAAATTGTAACCACTGACCCCCTTCTCTATGCGCAGTCTGATTCGGTAACGGCACCTTTTCGGGTCGGTTGAAAAGGGAAGTCAAAGGGAAAACTCTCTTTGGGGGGAGGGGTGTCACTCCAAATCCGTCCATCCGTCCATATTGGAGAGCCAGGTGGGGCCGTTTGACCTGGCGCTGAATCTGGGGGGCAGCCTCTTCAAGTTTTTGCTGAATCTCCCGGGGCAAGAGACGAGCAGTGCCACGGTGACGGGACGCAAATGGCAATCCATCCATGCTTTTTCCGCGACGCCTGGGAAGCCACAAGCGGGTGAGTTTTATGTTTTGTTTATGTCGCTTTTTCAATTATTCCTTTGGGGAAAACATTCCCCCCAAAAAGACCCAGATATCCGGTTTAGCACCAGGTGAACACCGGCATGGATCTCTTGCGGCAGATGGATCTGGGGCGGCGCATGGTCAAGGTCGGTGACCAGGTGGGTTTCTCCAAATTGATTCTACGGATCAGCAGGTGCTTCAAGGGGATACGTTCCTTTAGTATACCCTTTTCAAGGTCCAGTGTAAAGTACTACAGGGATCCCCACAGGTTGGTAGCCATTTTGGAATGGTTGAAGGAACCCTAAGGCAACCCAATGGTAGGAAACCACCAGAGGTGAAGCAACCATAGGTGGATCTATCTAATGGCAGCAACCTAAATGGGGAGAACCATGGAAAGCAGGAATGAAGGAACCCCGCCATGCTGGACCACAGGTGAGTTACAGTGGCCGGCAGCGATTCACCTACGCCGTGACCGACACGCGCCTGGAGATTGCCACCGGCGGCATGCTCGACTCATTGAAGATTCCCTTGGGGATCACTGGGCTGCTGTCGAAGCTAAGCTTTTCCCAGCCATAGCTTGGAGCCCATTTTTAGGGGTACTCCATATCACGTGCTTCGGGTATTTTTGTGGGATGTTATACAGTGTTTTTTTCTTTCTCGGGTATCCTTTTTGGGTTGGTTTCATGCTAGATACATACACTGAGACGTTCAGACTTTTGTGTTTCCGAGGGAGTTTATGACACGTCCTACAAAAAGTTTGGCTTTTGGCAGGGGACCCGCGAACTAAGGAAGACGATGAAGTTCGACCTCTTGAGTAAGCACAACATGCACGCAGGCTCATGGTTGTGGGAGCAGGGGCTTTCACAGAAAGGGTGATGTAGTAGCCATGGGGCCGGGAATCCCATTTGGGTATCACAGGTTTCCCACGTCGCAGGCTCCCGCAAAGACTTGCGCTATGCCGGCGAGGTGGTGGTCATCAACAAGAACCCCGCACATGCGAACAATGTGGAGCTCTGGACCGAGGAGGATGAGTATGAGATGGTCTTTGACAACGGCTCGGGGTCGCACCTCGGACGTGTAACATTTGCAATATTTGTCCACTGGAATGATGAATCAAGGGATTCGACCCCTACCCCCAAATCCTACCCTCCAAATACCCACTCTTTGTCGGGTCGCTTTTCCAAGGTACAAGCCTTACTGGCCGGCACCCCAGTTAGAGGAGCTGCTGCATTGCAACCTCCCGGACGTGCCCGGGAAGTTCTCCATCCGCGTGATGCGGGGCTCCTTCGGCGCCGACCAAGCCACCTTGGACGCCTACTGCGACGTGTGGAAAGGCGTGGACGACATCCCAGAGGCCGAACAAAGGGTGCTGCTTGCCAGGGTTTTCTAACCCCTGCAAAGGGAAAGAGGTTGTTGGGGGTGGCAAAATGTGTTGAACCAACCCCCGGGGTTGGAGTATATATATTATATATATCTTGTTGCACAACCCTGGCTTTGTGTGAAGGTTTGAAAGGAACAGCAAAAGCCGCCTCAAGCCGGTTCCAAATCCCAGTGCACTTTCATAGGCCGAGGAGTGCAAGCGGTCGCTGGGCTTCGTCGCCGTTCAGCCGGAGGTCCACAGGTGGGTTGGGGCGACGTGTTTCGAAAATCACCCAGACCCGGGCCCCAAGAAGAAACCCAGCTGTCAGAACACGCCATTTAAAGGGTAACGAACCGGATCACGTTCAAGCAACCGTGGTCGGGCTTGAACCGCATGTGTTCATATATATTAGATATATAATATATATGGGTTTGTCCTTTTTTGGTGTGTTGAGTTGCTTCAAAAGGCAGAAGGTGGGACCTCCCCGAATCATACCCCCGAATCATACCCCCGAATCATACCCCCGAATCATACCCCGAATCATGCCCACGAATCATACCCTTTAAAACGTATGCTGCAAGATGCTACTGTTCTTCTACCGTTTTGTGTTGTTCACTGTCTCCACAACAACCACCACCAGCGCTACCCAATACTACCACTGCCACTGCCACTGCCACTACTACTACTACTACTACTACTACTACTACTACTACTACTACTATTGCTACTACAACTACTACTACTACTACTACTCCAATTACTACTACTACTACTACTGCTACTACCACTACTACTACTACTACTACTACTACTACTACTGCTACTGCTACTACCGCTACTACCGCGACTACGAGTATTACTACCACTACCACCGCTACTACCGCTGCTACTACTACTGTACTGCTTCTACTTCTGCTTCTGCTACCCTTACTACTAACTACTACGACTACAACCTTGTCTACTACTACTACTACTACTACTACGACTACTACCTTTATTACTACTACTACTACTACTACTACTTCTACTACGACTACAACCTTGACTACTACTGCTACTACTACTGCTACTACTACTACTTCTACTACTACTATTCCTGCTTCTGCTGCTGCTGCTACTACTCACTACTACCACATACATCATTCTGAGTCTGTAATCAGTGCCGTTTTGCACCTAGCCGAATCATACCCGCGAATCATACCCGAATCATACCCGGACAATGAGCTTCCCCTGCCAAGGCTAGTGCTAAGTCTTTTTCACCGCGTCCGCACCACGACAGCCGCTGCTGCTTATGCTACAGCTGCTACCACTACTTCTGTAACTGCTACTACTACCACCACCACTACTACTGCTACTACTACTACTACTACTACCACAGCTACTACGAGTTTGTAATCAGTGCCGTTTTTCACCTGGCCGAATCATACCCGCGAATCATACCCGCGCAATGAACTTGCCTTGCCAAGGCCAGCGCCAAGTCTTTTCAAAGCTTCCGCGCCACTACAGTCGCGGCATCTACTGTTACTACTACTACTACTACTACTACTACTACTACGACTACTACTACTACTACTACTACTACTACTACTACTACTATTGTTACTACTACAATAGTACTACTAGTACTACTACTTCGGCGACTACTACTACTACTACTACTGCTGCTGCTGCTGCTGCTGCTGCTTCCGCGAATCATACCCCCGAATCATACCCCGAATCATACCCGCGAATCATACCTGCGAATCATACCCCGTACTCAAACCTTCCTGCCCGGCCACCCTAAAAAAATACAAACCCATATATATATATGTGTATTATATATATACGTATATCTGTCAGTATGCGGTTGAAGCGGCGTGGCCCAAGGTGCTGCGGTTCGATGAAGTCAGAGGAGGGCAGCTGCACGTGGAAGTGGTCGGGCGCCAACGACTGCGTGGAGGTGCCTGGGCATTGCTGCCAGGAGAGCGCTCGTTCGCTCGTTCGGGGCTGACGCGGTTCCTTTGGTTTCCCTCCGAAAGGGGTTCACTGGGCGAAATCTCACTAACCACGGTTTTTCTTGCACTATTGGATTTTGCTCAAGCTCCTGCTGTATAAAACACTTGTTTGAACAGCCTTGCTTTGGTGCTGGGGGTTGAACAAGGGTTTCAACAACCTTCTCCTGAAAAAAAAAGGCTTGTTGCCAGGGGGTTGGTCGGTTTGACAACCTTCTTTTGCTTCGTTGGCGTTTGACCAAACCAGGGGGGTTGTTTAAACACATGGGTCATCGGCGTGTCATTTGGTTAGGGCCCCCCAAAACTTCCCTTTAAAACCACGAAAAAGGGGGTACCTCAAAACCAGGGTTGTGGGATCAAGGGGTTTCTCCCCACTTTTGTGATACAAGGGAACTTCCCGTTTTTATGGGGGGTTAGTCTTTGGGAGGCTTTTTTTGTTGTATCACAGAAGTTGTCATTTCCCACAGCCCTGCTCAAAACAGACACCCCCCATTTTCACCCCGAACAACCTGTTGTTCGTGCCAGTTGCCCGTCGCGCCAGGAGACCGTCGTGAGCCAGCCCGGCGCCTGTCTGGCCGAGCCGACCTGCAAGGCGCAGATCATGTCCCACAGCAACGCGAAGGCGACGGCATCTCAAATCGACCTAAAACGAGCTGGTAGGTTTCCCCGCAACCGGGGTTCTCATTGCTGGTGGCGCAAGGCACCATTTTGTTTCTGGGTCCTGGCAGCTGAGTCTGATGAGCTGCTCAGTTGGATCCTCAACCTTGACTATGGAGCTCCACGGGTTTTGAGGCGGTAAATCGCGCAAATCGACCTGACATCACCTTTTGATTTTCCAATTTTGGTCCATATTTAGAGGTCCAAAAGGTCAACCTGTTATTTCCAGGTTTGGGCACATACCGAGCGATTCCATTTGTATAGTATACTAGTCCCAGTGATTCCCTTTAGCCCACTGAAGGCGCGGGTGCCTTTGATGGTATAATTGGGCTGGTCTTTCACTGGTAACCCAGGTAACCACCACCCTTTAGAATCCAAAGGGAAAATGGCTGGTTGCCTACCATAGGATCAACTGGGATAAACATGGAGCAACCCATGAAAGAGAGAATCGGGCTATGACATGCTTCCCCTTTGAGCGGCCTTGAACATGACCAAAGTGTGACCGGGTCAAACCTAAAGCGGGAAGCCATTTTGAGAGGCCTGTTCTCCTTTGATTACGAGGATGTCACCTGAGTGGATCCAGTATGAGTAAGTCAAGAATGTTGACGCAGACCCAAACATACACTTTGCAAGGGTGTTTGGTGTGTTGGCTGGGTGTGTGTTGTGCGGCGGTGTTGTTTTCTATGAGTCATACCAGTCACCAGCGGTGACGAGCAGGTTCAATCGTTCTTGGAATGAGTTCTATCAAAGGGATTCTGCCTTCGGGTCAAGCGAATGTCTCTTAGAACCCGTACCGTATGGGTCGTCAGGCCTTCCTGAACAAGGCGGACGCTGGTTTGAAGAAGTTGTGGGGCGGCAGGAGGGACGAGTGCTGGGCGCGGCAATGGCGCACGCGCATGTTCGACTGCTTTGCAGCCCACCAGGCAGCTTAGATGCCGAAAGCCAATCGCTTCCTATTGCTCACTTGAAAGCGAATCAACCTGAAATGACCTTTTGGCTTCCCTCTTCCGGGGGCCCAAAGGTTAACTCCGAACTGGGCAGCGGAGATTGGCTTGTCCAGATACAACCAGGTAAGAAAACCCTTTTATACCCATGGGGCACTCAGGTGGGCACCCCGATGAGCCTGCGCACGCAGACGTATATGAAGGAGTTGAAGGACTGTTGCACGAACTTTGTTGCTTCAACTATTCCCTGGCCCCCTTGAAAGGAACACCAGGAGGTGTTTATAGCTATAGGGGTTTAACCACGTTGCTTTTTTTGTTTGTTGGCTTTTTGGGGTTAGTCCATGTTTTGGGGTTGCCGCATTCTGACGGGCCAGGAATACTTTGAGAGCGACCCTTCCCATGCGAAAAGGTGGACCGCGTACCTCGACAACCTGCAGGAGAACTTCCATGTGGAGCACATCACTCTGGAGCACCTGAAGGAAGGGAGGAAAACAATTGGGTTGAAGCGCTTGAGCCAGATTCCCTGATACGAATCTTTCCCCACCCCCCCCACAGAGAAAGGTCAGGAGTTTGTCTTTTTGGAACCTCTGCAAGTGGGAGTTTCAATGGACACCATCAGTAAATTGCAACTTTTGAAGGGCGAATCTGCCCGATTTTTCATCTTCCCTCCATGAGGCCTTGGCATTTTCCACAGGATGGGCCTACGAATTTGGGCAAGGACATCACCGTGGCGCAGTGCATGCTGCCCTTCCTCAACAATGCCTTCTCTTACGTGCCCTTGAGCCTCAAACTCTCGAACTTTCTCAAGGTTGGTTGCCAAAAAATCGCAAAATCAACCAGCCCCAATTTGAACGGCCCAATTCTCGGAAACCAAATGGAGGTTGATTAAATATGTGTGTGTGTGTGCTTGTAATTGGGGGACCACAAAAATTGTACTTTTCATTTTAGGGTCTCTTTGAAACCACATTTGTTTCTAGGGTACTGTGGAATCGCGCGGCCAATGTGATGGCCATGAAAATTCTGATTCATGATGTGATTTTACCCGCGCTGGTTGACTTCACGCGTGTGTGTGCGTGGCCATGCTGTGACGTGACTTCGCTCGCGTTGATGTGACTTAGCGCGACCCTTTGTACCCTCAGAAAACACACAAGAACACATCTTCGAACAAAAAACACCGAAAGAGAAGTGGAATCCCCAGGTGGGCGTCTATGACCCCTCGGAGGGCCGCATCTATGGCGCCAACCTCCGGAAGTTGTGGCTCCAGTACCACCAATACATCTTCAACGAGCTCGACTACAAGGAGAGACGGGGTCCTCCGGGTTTGTGCTTGTGAGCCTTCAGGTTGGTCCCATATTTCGTAGCTATATTGTTCAGTCAGTGCGGTTCGGTCGAACATTGCTTGGTTTTGTCAACGGTTAATTTGGGAAGGACATGGGGGAACTCACGAGAGAACAGCAAGCACAAAATCAGGGGACGGAACTCTAAATTTCCCATGCCCTCGCACACACGCAAAGCGTTGCGGATGAGTGTGTGCGTTTTTTTTTCTTCCCGAAGGTGCCCTAATGTAGATTTATCGAAAGAGAATTTCCAAAGGAATTGGGGTCCATTTCACACATACGCGTGGTTCTACAACCTGATTGTTTGGGGTAGCAAGGTCTACAAGAACCTGTACAACTCTACACAAACCTGTATAACCACGGGAGGTGCAGTCGAATTTTTGTGATTTGTCCATGTTGCATTGGGAGCCACTAATTCCCCCCACCCACAAAGCAGTGCCAAAGGTTTCAATGGCTGCAGGAATGGTAGCTAGAACCAGGTTGTTTCAAAACAACAGCAGCCTTGACAGGGTTCCATTTTTTGACCAAAGGTTTCAATGGCTGCAGGACTGGTAGCTAGAACCAGGTTGGTTCCATGTGTGTCAAAACAACAGCAGCCTTGAACATTCACATCTTCCAAACGAGTGAGATCCAAACAGGGACTTAAACCTAGGGTTTCCCTTTAACCACGCCTGGGTTTACCTTGGGGGTCAAACAATGGATCCACACATTTCGATGAGTGAATCAGGGCGAGAGCTACAAGACCGGCCACGATGGAGAAGAGGGCTGTGGGCTGCTGCCCCAGACATCGAGCGTGTGTTGAGCCGTCCAATCCAAGTCAAAAAACGCTTCTCAGTGGGTTTTGATCCCCTCTGAAAGCTATGGGGTATTTGCCCAGGGCTCCGGAAGGGTTCCAGGGATACCGCCAGAACTTGTTTCCGAACATGTGAGCAGTCCCGTCAACTGGGTTTTGGGCGCTGCACATGTGTGCAGGGTCCCATTGTTTGATTCACGGTGTCCAGATTCGGGCTCTTCCTTTCGGCATTCGCATGCGTGCTGAGGACGGAATTGACAATTCCCAGGGCCGCTGACGAGTGGGGCAACGCCGTGTCCGAGTCCGAGGCTGTACATTTTCACTGCTTAAAGCTTTTTAGGGCTCCCGGCAAACAACCCCTACCCCCACGCAATCTCCCCCCCCCCCGGTCTGGTTCTGGGAACCTGTCGGCGGCTGTCGGCGGCTGTCGGCAGCTGTCGGCTGTCGGCAGTCGGGGCCCCGTGAAACGGCAGGTGGAGACTGAACCGGAGACCTTTGAGCTGCAGCTCAGTGCGGCAGAGCTGGCGACCTTGAAGCTGACGGACCGGCTCGGCACATTCGAGGCGAAAGCGTAGAAAGCTTTGTAACCAACAATCGGACTCTGCCCCGAGCATATTGACTTTGTCGGACTCACAGCGCAAAGCCCCAGCCCATAAACACAGCGCAAGACGATGCCCAGCACGAAGTCAAGGGAAAGAAGAAGAAAGCTATAGCGTACTCCAGGCATGCTAGCAATGGCAGGTCAAAAGTACATACATAAATCGGACTTATACAGTGGGATGATTGCAACGCAAACAGCTGCAGAGGCAGGAAAAATGGGTCAAAGTCGTACACATGCTCTCATTTGCGTAGACAAGACTGAACCATAGCATATGGACGTATACGGCAAAAGGCTGCGAGCAAACCCCTTGAGGCCACACTGCAGCCCCTGTAAAATGCCACACATCAATGATGGCTGCTGCATCATGCGTGTTTGTGAGTTGAGGTAAAACCATGAAAGCCAAGCATGTGTCATCTGGCACACAGGCCCACAGCTGCAGGAATTCAAAGGGCGTATGCCAAACAGACAAGCAAAGCTGCGAATGCGGAAGCAGGCCACATATCAATGATGGCTGCATCAAGTGAATTTGCGGGCAGCCAGGTAGAAAACAAAACAAAAGCAAACAGCACCTCAATGATGGCTGCTGCATCGCATGAGGAGATTGGCACACAACATGAATCCAAGCATGCCGCAACTGAATCGTGAAACACTGTAAACACCTCAAGAAATGCGATAGACCTCATGCGCGAGGTCCTCTCCATTGAAACTACGCAGTCTCTGAGTCTCTGCTCCACAGTCAACGGGTGATTCTGTGCCATGGTCTGAATTCGTGTCCATGGCTTACAAATTTCCGCAGCTGTTCTTTGTCCCCGTTCAAATCCACGTGTGTTATGAGCGAAGAAGCAGCAGTTCTTACAATAGACCGTGAACTCAAGCATTGAGTGTTTGGGCTTGCCAGGTTGTTTGTTGCAACGCACAGCTGACTGTTGTAAAAGTCCAAACTCATGTTGCGCATCCGCAGTACTACCGGGACATTTATGAAATTTCTTCTTCTTGTGATCAAGATTTTGCATAGCCGCAATGGTGTTCCTCCATTCACATTTGACACACCGGACAGTGCCTTATGGCATACCGCTGTACCAAAGTTCGTTGCCATGCTGCTGCTTCAAGCGAGGCAGTCTATGCATGCCAGTGAGGGTGATTCACAATGTTGCCAAAAACGAGTAAATGCATCCACGCCGCAATCAGAACGTCGCTTGCACCGGACAATGCTCTCAGCAGGATGAGTGTCAAGCGCAGGCAGCCACGATTTCATGACAGACTGCTTGGCTATACGCCTGCGAGTAGCTGCGTGGCTATGTGTTGTCTCAGGCAATGTTCTAGCATCCCTATCATCAGCATTAGGTGCACCTCCCGCGCAATTGTCATCATCAGCATTGTCAGCAGAATCGCCTCCATCACCATCCTCGTCCTCAGTGTCAGCGGCAGCACCATCAAAGGTGAATTCGGTGCGTATGGCATACCGCTCAATTTCCACAAATGCCCATTGCAAATTGTAAATGAGAAATATATTGAAATCACAAGGCGCGATCGCGCACATGGTAGTACAATTGGGAAGCATATGAATCTGTCTACGCAAATCCCGGACACATTGTGGTATCAAGTGTTCGAACCAGGACAATTCCTCTCTGCTTGGAGGCACTTGACGGGCTTGAGTGCGACTAAAATGGGCTAGACGCTTGCTGGAACCGTCGATGCCGCATAAGTCGATCCCTTGTTACAACACCGCCAGAGGTGACGTGGAGAAGCACGAATTCCTTTCACATAATCGCGGTGTCGCGGCTTCATCTATTCCATTTTCAGTACCGCGCATGTCTTCGCTCGGCTGGTACCCTCTTCTGCATCTGGCAGAAGTCATATCGGCAGCTTCTCGTCTGCGAAAAGCATCACGCTGGGCATCCTGGAGTGGCAGCGGGCAGACATCACCCGTGCTGATAAACCGTTGCTGATTAGGCCATTGCCACCCTAAGTGCGCGATAAATTTTTATGAGCGTGGGACGATGAAAGCCCAAGTACGTGAAGGTTAGTAAGAGTCTCTCTCTCTCTCTCTCTGTGCTGTCTGAGGGCAGTGCCCGCTAGCTGCGTGAAACAGTCAATTCTCATGCAAAAACAATCCCTGTGAGCAGTGGAACAGCCCACAAACAGCCTGAAGCTGCGGGCTCTACATCCTACTCCAACTTTGCACTTCTTGCTGTACATGTGCTGGGATCGATACATGCCTGAGTTGCCCGCTCTACGCTGATGCTCCGCAAGTTACACAACAGCCAGAGCCCGATGGAAGCTTTTGAATTTCGTCCACCCAGCCCCCGAGAGTTCACCAAAAATTCACAGGGACCTCAAAGAAGTGCATGTCTTCGTCCCCACGTGACAGGTGGGCAGGAACGCACGTGGGCTTCAAACTGCTCCAGGAGAAGTAATCGCACACAAGGGCTCTGTCGCAGCCAGCGTACGATTGGCGTCCTCCAAAAACTGAAGGGATATCTTTTTGTCTGGGAGCTTTTGGGTGCACAAAAAGGGCCGGCGCTGCAGAAAAAGCTGCATGCGCAAAGAGCAACAAAGGCTGCAAAAAGCAGTTTATTGTCAAGCGCAATGCGCCGGATTTCTTTGGCTTTGAGTCCTGTCATGGCAAAAGGCTTCGGCAAATCACCTTCTGGCTGTCTTCAAGCGCGCCGGCTCTGGGCCACGTCGCAGGGCGGCGCCAGCAACAGGCCAAACAACCCACCCTGCATTGATCCACTGACTGAACTTTGCAAGATTGCTGTCAGTCATATCAAGGTGATCCCCAAGCGCAAGGTAGCCTCCGCTAAGCTCTCAAGGTGCATTTGGAAGTCCCCTTGCTTGTGGCAACCGCTAAAAACAAACAGTAGACTTTGGGTGTCTTGAGGGCATACGTGGAGGGGTCACTGGCCAGGTTGCATGCTATGCAAAAGCAGATCTCTATCGTGAACCTCGCGCATTTCTGCGGGACATGAAGATGCTTTTGTTTGTCAATCATGCCTCGTTTGCGAGGTTCATCACAACCAACACTGTCAACACAGTCCTGCTTGCCTCTATCTCTTACTTGCGAGGCAAGGTGAGTGTGGGGAGGCTGTCGTGCCTGTAGAACCTGTTGCGAGGGTGTCAGTGTCTGCTTCCATGAAAGGATGGTTTCGTTCAACCGCTCTTCCCTGGCATCAAGCTCTTCAAGGTTCTCAATGAAGCTTGCGGCTTCAAACTGCTCCCTTAAGGCTGATGCTGCGGACTCAGGCATCTGACGCTGCAAGAACTCACACTTGTTGCGCGGTGCCCCCTTGCTTCAGCGTGTCTTCTTGCAATTGCGCCTGGCCAGCTTGGGAAACACCTTGCGCGGCACACTCTGGTAGCACAGCTCTGCTGTTTCAAGCTCAGTGAGTGGCGCAACTGCATGGATCAAGTGGCGCAAGCAGCCTGAAGGTTAGTAAGAGTCCCAATTTCAGAAACTGGTGCGGACATCGGCTTTGTTAGTTCTTTAAAGGTTTGGGTAGACCAGGTGACCGGGTTTTCTTTTATTTCCCTTTTCGAAACCTCCGAAAGTGGAGGTGTCAACGGAAAATACAACTTTTGAAGAGGCAATTGAGCGAATCCCTGGTACACCAAGCTTTGATTCTCTGGTTTCGGGGAGATGCTACATCCCACCCATTCGCAGGTGCAGTGCGGCGCAGTCGTCACCGGCGAGGATTTCGCTTATGAGAGCTCCCTCTCTGGGTCCATGATCGTAGCGGTCCATGGAGTCCCCACTTTGCACAGGCGATGAATTTCGATTGGGTGGGTCCTTTTGAGGGGACCCCAAGAATGGTTTGCTTCGGTCTCCCCTTAAAACCACCAAGAAAGGTACCTCAAATAAAGACTGTCCCAGTTCGAGAACCAGCTCAGAAGTGGTTAGTGGACCAGACATTGCCCTATTAAAATCCATGTCCGCGTGAGCTATGCCAAAAATGCCCTGAGTTGTCATAGGGCCTTCCCCTCCCAAGTCGATGGAGACAAAGCCACCGAAACAAGTCCACCAAAGGGGGCCCAAACTAACTTTAGAGCCTCCGGCTCAGTCCGCCGACATTGTCCTCTCCCTTTTCTCCTTCTTCCTCTCTTCCTTGTCTCCCTTGTGTGTTCTGTCGTCCTCTCTCCCTCCCTCCGCTCCCATCCTCCCCATCCCCCCAAGCCTCTCTCTCCCCAATCTCCCTCTCTCGTATGTATGCATGCATGTACATATGTATGTATGTATGTATGTATGTATGTATGTATGCATGCATGCATGTGTATGTATGTGTATATGTATGTATGTATGTATGTATGTATGTATGTATGTATGTATGTATGTATGTATGTAATGTAATGTAATGTAATGTAATGTAATGTAATGTAATGTAATGTAATGTAATGTAATGTAATGTAATGTATGTAATGTATGTATGTATGTATGTATGTATGTATGTATGTATGTATGTATGTATGTATGTATGTATGTATGTATGTATGTATGTATGTATGTATGTATGTATGTATGTATGTATGTATGTATGTATGTATGTATGTATGTATGTATGTATGTATGTATGTATGTATGTATGTATGTATGTATGTATGTATGTATGTATGTATGTATGTATGTATGTATGTATGTATGTATGTATGTATGTATGTATGTATGTATGTATGTATGTATGTATGTATGTATGTATGTATGTATGTATGTATGTATGTATGTATGTATGTATGTATGTATGTATGTATGTATGTATGTATGTATATGTATGTATGTATGTATGTATGTATGTATGTATGTATGTATGTATGTATGTATGTATGTATGTATGTATGTATGTATGTATGTATGTATGTATATGTATGTATGTATGTATGTATGTATGTATGTATGTATGTATGTATGTATGTATGTATGTATGTATGTATGTATGTATGTATGTATGTATGTATGTATGTATGTATGTATGTATGTATGTATGTATGTATGTATGTATGTATGTATGTATGTATGTATGTATGTATGTATGTATGTATGTATGTATGTATGTATGTATGTATGTATGTATGTATGTATGTATGTATGTATGTATGTATGTATGTATGTATGTATGTATGTATGTATGTATGTATGTATGTATGTATGTATGTATGTATGTATGTATGTATGTATGTATGTATGTATGTATGTATGTATGTATGTATGTATGTATGTATGTATGTATGTATGTATGTATGTATGTATGTATGTATGTATGTATGTATGTATGTATGTATGTATGTATGTATGTATGTATGTATGTATGTATGTATGTATGTGTATGTATGTATGTATGTATGTATGTATGTATGTATGTATGTATGTATGTATGTATGTATGTAATGTAATGTAATGTATGTAATGTAATGTATGTATGTATGTATGTATGTATGTATGTATGTATGTATGTATGTATGTATGTATGTATGTATGTATGTATGTATGTATGTATGTATGTATGTATGTATGTATGTATGTATGTATGTATGTATGTATGTATGTATGTATGTATGTATGTATGTATGTATGTATGTATGTATGTATGTAATGTATGTATGTATGTATGTATGTATGTATGTATGTATGTATGTATGTATGTATGTATGTATGTATGTATGTATGTATGTATGTATGTATGTATGTATGTATGTATGTATGTATGTATGTATGTATGTATGTATGTATGTATGTATGTATGTATGTATGTATGTATGTATGTATGTATGTATGTATGTAATGTATGTATGTATGTATGTATGTATGTATGTATGTATGTATGTATGTATGTATGTATGTATGTATGTATGTATGTATGTATGTATGTATGTATGTATGTATGTATGTATGTATGTATGTATGTATGTATGTATGTATGTATGTATGTATGTATGTATGTATGTATGTATGTATGTATGTATGTATGTATGTATGTATGTATGTATGTATGTATGTATGTATGTATGTATGTATGTATGTATGTAATGTATGTATGTATGTATGTATGTATGTATGTATGTATGTATGTATGTATGTATGTATGTATGTATGTATGTATGTATGTAATGTATGTATGTATGTATGTAATTATGTATGTATGTATGTATGTATGTAATGTATGTATGTATGTAATGTATGTATGTATGTATGTATGTATGTATGTATGTATGTATGTATGTATGTATGTATGTATGTATGTATGTATGTATGTATGTATGTATGTATGTATGTATGTATGTATGTATGTATGTATGTATGTATGTATGTATGTATGTAATGTATGTATGTATGTATGTATGTATGTATGTATGTATGTATGTATGTATGTATGTAATGTAATGTATGTATGTATGTATGTATGTATGTATGTATGTATGTATGTATGTATGTATGTATGTATGTATGTATGTATGTAATGTATGTATGTATGTATGTATGTATGTATGTATGTATGTATGTATGTATGTATGTATGTATGTATGTATGTATGTATGTATGTATGTATGTATGTATGTATGTAATGTAATGTATGTATGTATGTATGTATGTATGTATGTATGTATGTATGTATGTATGTATGTATGTATGTATGTATGTATGTATGTATGTATGTATGTATGTATGTATGTATGTATGTATGTATGTATGTATGTATGTATGTATGTATGTATGTATGTATGTATGTATGTATGTATGTATGTATGTATGTATGTATGTATGTATGTATGTATGTATGTATGTATGTATGTAATGTATGTATGTATGTAATGTATGTATGTAATGTGTAATGTATGTATGTATGTATGTATGTATGTATGTATGTACATGTGTGTATGTATGTAATGTATGTATGTATGTATGTATGTATGTATGTATGTATGTATGTATGTATGTATGTATGTATGTATGTATGTATGTATGTATGTATGTATGTATGTATGTATGTATGTATGTATGTATGTATGTATGTATGTATGTGTATGTATGTATGTAATGTATGCATGTATGCATGTATGTGAGTATGTAAGTAAGTAAGTAAGTAAGTAAGTAAGTAAGTAAGTAAGTAAGTAATGTAATGCATGTAATGTATGTACGTATGTATGTATGTGTGCATGCATGCATGCATGCATGCATGCTTACATACATGTATGCATGTATGTATGTATGTATGTATGTAATGTATGTATGTATGTAATGTCATGTAATGTCATGTAATGTAATGTACTGTAATGTATGTATGTATGTATGTATGTATCCTTGCACTTCCCCTTTGCTCCCCAGTATTTCCCGCAAAAAAAACACGGTTTTTCCAGCGTTTTCGCAAAGAGGACGTCCAAAAACATTGAGTTTTTCCAGATTTTCGGCAAAAGGATGCAGGAAGCCCAAGCCAGCAAAAAAGCCGGCAGGGGGAATCGAGCCTGGGACCCCTGTTTTGCGACACCGGCTCCCCGAAGACTACGTTTAGTGGAACGTCATCAAATTGCCGCGCGGTACGTGGGGGACCCCCCCCCCCTCCCCCCGGGTTATCCTCTATCCTCTAGTAAGTATCCGACACGCCGAGCAATGTCGGCGGATATAATTGCAATGCGTACCCCAATTTCCTGATTTGTCCATGGTTCATAAAATTTGGGACATTTGGGCAGGAGGATTTAAACTCACTCAATTACCACAAATCGTAAACAGGGAACACGTCATGTGTTTGTTTTTTCCCGTGTCCTCTTGCTGTTTGTATTTGTTTGCGCGTCAGGTCCTTTGAGGACACAAAAGCCATGATCTCGAAGAGCCTCCAGACTGGGCCCGTGCGACTGAAGTTCCAGCGAGTGAACCCGGGCTTCTGCAACAGGCAGCTTGACGAATGTCAGGACCGCATTCCCATCCCGGGCTCGGAGGACGGGTTGGGGCTCATCGGGCAGGCAACACTTGGAGATGACCAGACCCGAAGTTTCCAGACAGGTTTCGAATGACCTGGTTGGGTCTAAATATGTGTTGCAAGGGTTTGAATCGCCTTGTGAGGACTGGGCGCGGTGCTGGTACACCAAGGGAGAGCAAGCCTGCGGGGAGTACTGCTGTTGCCCCAGCGGCTACCAGTACTACACCAGCTATTTGTCCTCTGGCTGCAGCAGATGCCCATCCGAGGTCTTGTGACCTTGCCGGCGCCGGGTAAAACTGGTGCGACTTGCGACACAGGGATTGGGACCCCCCAAAATGGACTCAGTTTCCTTTTACTTTCCCTTACCCAAGGTTCAATCAGGATATCCTCAAAAAGCACACATCCCCGTACTGTCCCGATCGAATCCAGCGAGCCCGCCTTGTTCTACGACCCCGAACTAAACTGGTCAGAGAACATTCTCCACAGATCTGAGCCGAGCATTGATTGGGTTTCCCCGCGAAGGCTGAGGGAAGGCCCGCCCAACACCCCACCCTTCCCCGCCTTCAGCCTGTTGTGTTGCTCAAGTGGGCGGCCGAGCTTCAGGCTTCGCCCCTTTGGCAGAAGCACATGGCACACGGTCTGAATGGGATGTGAACCTTATGTGCGGTTTCCTTTTTAGGTTCCCCACAAAGCAACCCTAAAGGGTACCATGAAAAATACGACCCCACATGCATGGTGCCGATATAAATGCTGTGGTGTGCCAGTAGAATTGTTTGGTCACCCGCGGCGAACTTTATCGAAATTGGATGATAGGGAAGAAGCAGAAGAGCAGAGATTCAAAATATCATAAGGGCAATTTTTGAAGATTGCAAGGCAATGGATGGGTATGTGTCAAAATAGGGGTACCCGAATGCTGTTTTTGGTGCATTGCACGAGGTTCGGATCGGAGTTCCGTGCCATTCAGGAGAACAGCCTCCTTTCTGTGTGCCCCTTGGTGGGTTTGAAAATCACCCGGGCCAGATGTTTCGGTAGTTTCCCTTGGGATGGTTTGAATTCAAGGGACTCAGCCTCACCAGCTCCCTCAGATCTCCAGAAATCTTCTCCAGCCTGCAGAAGCACCTAAATGCTGCAAACCTTCAATTTCCTCCAAACCATCATTCGAAGCCACCAAGAGGGAAACCGACTGCAGGTTGATTAGGGAGGGGTTTGTTCATGTTTGGACATATTTTTGGCACATGTGTTGCAACCCCTTTCATTGCGACTGTGAAGGGCCAGTCTTGCATTGCATATCCCAAACAACAACCGACATAAATATAGAACCGGACAGTGCTGCACTTTTCCCGCCCCTTTGTCCCCTTTCTGCTCTCCGAAGGCAGCTGAGCGCGAAAAACCATGGGTGGGGATCCTGGATTCAGCAGGCCACAATATATCCTATGAAAAGAAAGGGTAGTTGCTGCAATTCCGTATGGTTTCACCTGTTGCATGTTCTAAGTTGCGGGATTGTCAGTGGGGTGTTCCACTGTACTGGATTCGTTGTGTTTTGTTGTCGGGGCCGGGGGGGGGGGGGGGGAGTTTGACGCTGTCAGCAGGCCTGACAACTCGCTACTGAAGCCCTTAAAATTCCAAAGTTTCTGGTTTCTGCTAGCTTGATGCTCAAGGACAAGAAGCCAAGAACCAACAGACAGGAGGTTGTTTCAATGCTGAGTTATGGAAGCGGAAGTTGAACATGTGGTTGCATTCAAGGGTGACGTGAAAACATGTCAGCCATTCTTACGAACCCTTTCATGCCCTTTGCCTTCCAGCTTCGACCACTGCAATGATGCAAGCGAAAGAACCATACTGCAGATTGGGCGACACATCTGACGAAGACCAGGAGCCAGAGCCGTTTGTCAAAATAGCGCCTGTACTTCGGGAGAACGATGTGACCAGCGCCCCTCACAGACGCGTGTACATCTACGTGAATGTGTTCTCGCTGTCATCAATCGATACGGTCGCGCAGCAGTTCGATTGTCACTTCTTCATCCGTGCCATGTGGAAGGAGCCAGGGACTGAGAGTACCTCTGAATGGGAGCCGAGCCTTGTTTTCATGAACGCAGCGTCGCAGGTGGAGTTCACTGATGTGAAACTTGGTGTATGCCCATGGCGTACGGGGCCACGAGGAGAAGAGGTGATGCAATGGCGAGCGGACTGTCGAGGTCAGCATGCGAGTCAACTGTGAACATGTTTAAACACTTGCCGAGCTGGTTCCCAGCTGGCAAGCACAAAGGGTTCCGCGAATGAACCTACGGATGCCCTGAAAGTAAACCATCAGGGGGGGTGATTCCCTCATTTGCGTAGCAAGGAGCAACGTCCACTTAGGTTTGGCTTTCAGACATTGGCCGCGCTTCAAACCATTTCCTGAGGAACCTTCAAAGAAGGCTTCGAGTTGGAGCATTTTCCTTTTGACGTCCAGGCCTTGACCGTTACGGTGAGTTGCAACCGACCTTCCTCAGAGGTCACGCTGCTTGAAGACAAATACACGGGCACAAAGTCCATCTTGCGCAACCAATTCAACGTGATGACAGACTTCGATCTTTCGGGCCCCTTCATGGTAGGGAACATCGACGAGGAACGGAGAAGATATCCCCTGCTTCATATTTACTTTATAGGCCAGAGATGGTCGGCATACTTTATGTGGAACATTGCCCTACCCAACTTTCTGCTGAGTGTCTTGGTTTTCACCTCCTTCGCGATCGCTCAAGAAAGTTTGGCTGACCGTTTGAGCGTCACTTTGACCCTTGTCTTGACTTCTGTGGCCTTCAAATACATGGTGGCTCAAGAGTTGCCCAAGATCAGCTACTTGACCTTGCTGGACAAGTACATCCTGCTGAGTTTCACCTTTTTGGCCCTGGTGGGTGGGCAAAACACCCTGGCTGCGATCGTGGAGCAGCGTGAGGGTGACTTTCCCATCGTGGATGCGTCCAGGTTCTGCGGGTATGCGTCAAATGAGAAGCTTGGGCCTCCAAAGTGTTGCTCCTTTTGGTTTGCCCTAAAACCAACCTGAAAAGGATACCCTCAAAACACCACAAGCCCCTAAAGCATACCTCGAAATAGGGTGACAAGGCTGAACAATGATCACACACACACCCTGTTCAGGTACGCTGTGGTGGTGATCTTTGTACTGATCCACGTGATGCTTACGGCTTTGAGTTTGCACTACATGTGGCTGGAATCCAGAAAGCTGGCGAGGTTGAAAGCCGGAAAGCTCGCAAAGTGAATGCCCTGAGATCTGAGAGTGTCAAGCATGTCTATT